AAAAGCATCTGTCATCAAATGTGACAAAGGCCACTGCCCTAGTTAAACTGTTGTGAACTGGGGCACTTGAGTCTGAGTAATTCAGGACTTTTATTTTCAGCCCATGTCCCCAATCATTCCTGTTGAAATGAAGGCCATCTCTTGACACTAAATGTGCCATTTACTCTTAGCAATAATCTGTAACTTTCATCTAACCAGTAAAGACAGAAAAATGAAAATGTTACATTCTCAGATAAAGGAAAAAGATACATTTCTCATTGTGTATCCCAAATGTGTTTTCCTTCACTTTCTCATTTGTTCTGTAACACATTCTACTGACTGCAGATACATTTTACAAAGTATATAATAAATTTAAAAGGAAATATCTTCATTCCACACAAATCCATACAATGTATGCACCTCTTGGAATTGGGGGAGATAATGATATTTTGCAAAATGTTTATATGCAAATGCTAACTAGATCTAAATATGCATCACTCATTTCAATTAGAGTTCAGAAACGGACCCAGGAGTCATACAGGTACCACTTTAATCCACTTAGACATTATGGATTCTTCTGTCTTATTACAATATTATTTTTCCCTTGTAGGTAAAGCCCATTGGCTGTCTAGTATTGCCCAAGATCAAAAAGAAAGAATAAAACTTCGTAGAATGAACAATAGATGAATTGCTGCTTAGTTACAGGCAGTGTTATATAGTGATTATGGGTTCTGGAATCAAACTTCCTTGATTCAAATCCTAGCCATTGGCTGTGTAACCTTCAGCAAGTGATTTAGCCTTTCTGTAACTCAGTAGCCTCACTTATTAAATGGAGGTGATGATAAGTGCACTTTATAAAATTATAGTGAAGATTAAACATGAGTTAATAAACTTAAAGCATCTAGGCCAGCCCATGGTAAATCCTTAGTAAATATCAAAATTGTGAAAACTTGCTGCATGTATTTTCTCCTGCCATGATTCTTCCAAAATATTTCTTATTTACCAAGCATTCAATTACAGAGATGAACAATAACCTACTTAATTCACAATTGTAATAAATTTTTATTTTTTTTCCAATTCTTCACAATTTTATATTTGCCCAATTTTTCATATTAACCTCAGAATCAATTTGTCAACCTCCTAGAAAAATGCCTCTTGGATTTTAATTGAGATTATATTAAACATACACATTTGTTTGGTGGAGATTCTCTTATGAAGTCCAATTTTCTCATCCAGGGACATAGTTTATCTTTTTGTAAATTTAAGCTTCCTAAAATAAGCCTCTAATATTTTGCAATTATTTTCATATAAATCATCTGTATTTCTTTTTACATTAATTCTTTGGTATTTCAAAATTCTGTCATTAGGAACTATTAAATAGAATTTATTCTTATTTCTTACTGTTACAGAAAATATTTAATAGTTTATGTAGTTTTTTAATATAGAAACTTTAATTTTTCATAGTAAAAAATATCAAACCTTTTCTGTGTATGACTCTGATTTTACACACAGAAAAACATCAACTTACCTCCTGAATTTAGATCAATTTTTAATTTTATCTTTTTAAAAGTAAAAGCACTTTCCAAAAAGAAAAAAAAAATTGATCCATAAGTATACTTCTTAACAAAGGGGTGATTTTTATAGAGAAAGCATTACAGTAAATGGCATTTTGCTTTACCATGAAGGATGTCAGTAGAACTATCTCAGCCCAAATAGAAAGACCAATAGCTTAAGAAAATTCTTTGCTAATTAACATGTCTATTAATGGGTGATTAGTCCATAACAGCCTGACATTTACTACAATCCTGCCTTCTTTTCCACATACTCCTACCTTAGAATTCTTCTCATACTTTTGTAATTTTCTCATATTAATTGATTGCTTACTGTTTATTTTTCTCCACTGTCAATGTATTTCCATTAAGTCTGCAACCTTCAACTGTCTGGTTCACCATAGTGACCAATGTCTAATCCCAGCCTCGTTTATTTATTCATTAATTTAATAAACAAATGTTAGTCTCCTACTCCTTATCAGGAACTGTTTCATATGGACAATTTATTTGGTCTCAGAGTGTTTATTTCCCGGGGAGTTGGGGGAAGAATGGAAAGCAAATAACTAAATAAAAAACATAATTTCAAGTAATTGTAACAGCTACCGCAAGGAGCGGACTGAGTAAAGCTGGACGGGCGTACTGTTGTAAAAAGGAAAGCCAGTGAAGGCCTCTCTGAGGAGGTAACATGAACAGAGAAGTTAATAATATGAAAGATCTGAAGGGAAAATGTTGCAAGTAGACTGAATTTGTATGAAGATCCCAAGGTGAATAAACTTGGTGGTTTGAAAAGAAGCAATAAAACCAGTGACCCAGAGAGAGAATCGAAGGAGATGATGTCAAAAAGGCAAGACATAGTGAGATCGTGCAGGCAAGACCTTCTTGTCTCACACTTTTGAAACTTAGTTGTGCCTATAAACCATCTGGAATCTTGTTAAGCTGCAGACTCTGATTAAGGAAGTCTGGGGCAGGGCCTGAGATTCTGAATTCCTAACAAGCTTCCAAGGAATACTAATGCTGCTGTTCTGGATACCACTCTGAAAAGGAAGCTTCTGAGCGTAAAACTCAATTAATTACTCAAATATGAGTGAAAGACAGGAAAGGGACTTGGGATGACCTAATTGCTTTTCATTTTCAAAGGATCACACTGGTATGTAGAAAAGCTGGTCATTAAAATGCAAATCAAAACCACCTTAAGATACCATCTCACACCAGGTAGAATGGTTATCATTAAAAAATCTAGAGACAACGGATGCTGGAGAGGATGTGGAGAAATTGGAATGCTTTTACACTGTTGGTGGGTGTGTAAATTAGTTCAACCATTGTGGAAGACAGTGTGCCTATTCCTCAAGGATCTAGAAATAGAAATACTACTTGGCCCAGAAATCCTGTTATTGGGTATATATCCAAAGGATTATAAATCGTTCTACTATAAAGACACAGGCACATGTATGTTCATTGTGGCACTGTTTACAATAAGAAAGACTTGGAACCAACCCAAATGCCTATCAATGATAGACTGGATAAAGAAAATGTGGCACATTTACACCATGGAATTCTATGTAGTCATAAAAAGGATGAGTTCATGTCCTTTGCAGGGACATGGATGAAGCTGGAAACCATTTTCAGCAAACTGACACAAGAACATAAAACCAAACACCACATGTTCTCATTCATAAGTGGTTGTTGAACAATGAGAACACATGGTCACAAGGAGAGGAACATCAGACACCAGGGCCTATTGTGGGGGGAGACGGACTGGAGAGGGATAGCAGGGGGTGGGAGGATTGGGGAGGGGTAACATTAGGAGAAATACCTAATGTAGATGATGGAGTGATGGATGCAGCAAACCACCATGGCATGTGTATACCTATATAATAATCCTGTATGATCTGTACATGTACCCCAGAACTTAAAATATAATAATAAAACAATAAAGAATAAAAACAAAAATACGAAATGTAAAAGAAAAAAGAAAAGCCTGTTGGGAAGAAAGCATGAAGCCAGTTAGGAAACTGCTTCTGTGATGTGACAGAGCAGAGTGGTTGGGAGTAGTTCAGGCAATGAAGGAGCCCAGGACACACGGTCACTTTTGGGACACGTTTTGATTACATAGTTAAAATAACTGATGCACTAGATGTCAGATATGAAAGTAAGAGCAACCAAGGCTGACTACTCTGTAAATGAACAACTGAGTGATTTGTGGTTCTTGTTAAAAAGATGAGAAAATATGGAAGACGGACGGGTGGGACAAGATAGAAGTCAAAGGTTTCGTTTCAGATATGCTATTACTAAGAATATCATAAAATGCAATAAAAAATAAATAAATTTAAAAAATGAAAAAAAATAATATCATATTAATGATCAAATGAAAGTATTAAGTTGTGTATATATGTTAAGAGCTTAGGGGAGAGTATTGGATGGAGATTGAAATTTGGGGATCATTAGATTTTAAAGTCATTCAGTTAAATGAGCTCATCTAGCAAGGGAGGATTAGAGAGATTTAAGGCTGAGAAGAAGAAGACCGGCCAAGGAAACTTAGGAGAAGCTACCTATGAGGTAGGAAAATAATCCAAGAGCATGTGACACTCTAGAATTTAAGTGAAGAAGTGCTTCAACATAGTGGCTAAGAAGGTTGGATAATCAAGTAAATACCTGTCAGGGTTCAAATAAAATGAAACTGAGAGTTGACCAGTGAAGTTTGCAAGATGTGGACATTGTTGCTAACTTGACAAAGGTGGTCTTGGTGAATAGGGTGATAAATTATTTCCTAGAATGTAAGATAGCAAGAATGGGAGATGATAAAGTAGAAGCAGAGACAACAGAAAACGCTTTCAAGAGTTTTTGCAATAAAAAGGAACGGAGAATGGGCCATAACTAGAGAAAGATGTTAAATCAAAGCAGTTTTATTTTAAGATAAAAGATATTGAAACATATTCATGTGCTGATATAAATGAAAGATGAAGAGAAAATATGGGTTATGCAGGTGGAGGGGATGGCTGTGGAGAGAAGAGAGAGACAAGAGGAAAAGAAGAATACATATGGGTGAAGATGCATGTAAGTGGAGGGAGAAGAAAGGGGAAAGACAAGCACTTTTATTCTAGATGCTTCTGTTTTGCAATAAAATAAGAATCAACTAACAGTAGAAAATGAGAAAGGAGTGTTGGGGATTTCAGTGGAGAAGAATTGGTGTAATATATTCATCTCAGATAGCATGGAGGCAAATTTAAGAGAATGTAGTAGGATTCAAGGATAGTACAGAGGAGCCGTTTAAGACATGGTAATACAATAAACATAAAATAAGTGGGATTTCTTCTAGTAACATTCACCTACGTAGGGAGAAAATGGCAAGGTTGCTGAGTATACATATAAGAAAGAAATTAGAGTAATAAACCATGGCATCTAAACCAAGTAAGATGAAATTGAGGGCTAAAAAAAGTGGTGAGTCAATGCATTATCTAATGATACCAAAGAAGTTATTAAAACTATTTATTGAAAGGGGAGAGGTTCTTTGAGACTTTGGGTAAATAAAATCCTACATAAAAACCACTGAACTCTCCAAAGGTACAAAACGGTGCAATTTTTAGGCACATGCACACAGCTTGAGCTGCCATGCAAGTTTCTCAAAAGGCTTACTAGAGATTTTCTTTTAGTAAACATGGTTTTATTTACTTACGGTATCTCAGAAATACACCTATTGAGAAAAGCAGGGTCGATCAGTACAGCATCCGTATCCCTTTTTAAGTATTTTGAAATGTTTTAATGCATCAAACTCAAAAGCAAAACATCATTCAAACCAACAGGCTATTAGAGCACCATGCTTAAGTGCTGCTTTGTCTCTCTGCTTATTACTCTCTCAAAAGCAATAAAACAGAAATCATATCACGAAATCTGAATGTTAATATAGTTCCAAAATAATCTGGATAGCAAACAAATAGAGTCTTGCAATGCCATCTCAAACAGTTTTCAGAAAATTGTTAGGAGGGCAAAAAGTCCATAAAGTAAGGCACAAGGGTAGGCAACAAGAAGCTGCTGTCCTTCCATGTCCAAGGCTGAAATGAAAATCTTGGAAGCTGAGAGACTACACCAGCCGATGATGACCAGTGATGACACAATTCCAAAGGTGCCCCTGCAGCAAAGACAAAGAGATGATTGCTTTATGCCAGCAGAAAAAGAGATCATTGAGTTAGAGTTGCCTCTGAAATATCCTTGGTACAATATTTGTAACTACTTTCTCCACTGGTAAAATAAAAATGATGAAATACATGAACAAAAGCCCTTGGCCAGTTAGGCATTTTTTAAGTCAAATTCATTACAGAGGATAAATATTGTATACTTCTGTTAAACCTGAATTAGAAAAAAAAAAAAAAAAAGTAGAAATCACCTGAGTCACTCTCCTCTCATCTGTCAATATTCAAATCCTAACTCCTAAAACTCCCTGAAATACAGCATTGAAAATCTTCGCTTCCTTATAGCTATAGATTTCCTTTTCCCTACTTTTTTCAAAAATTGGCCAACAGCAGAGGAGAAAGATAGACAGAGTTACATTGCAGTGGGGTGCCTAGTTCCTAATACTTCTAGATTTACTTCCCAGGGTTTTGTCTGAGATCACGAAAAAGCCTGACACAGCTCAAGTAAGGAACACATGGGATAGGAAAGCACATATGTGTGGCTTCCCACCTCATCCTTGAAGTTCCATTTTGTATATTTTTAGAATACTGAAATAGATTTGTTCAATTGGTATCTTCAAAAAGTAACTGCAGAGGCCAGTGAGCAAATAAGGTGGTAAAGTCTAGTCACTTGGAAAAGAATAAAGTAGGGAGGGTGGTAGAGAGGGAATTTCTTTCCTAATGTGTTAAACAGAATGCATTATTTAGAAAAATAAGACATAAAAGCTGAGAGAAATCTCAGGAAATGTATACTGCCCAGTTTCAAAGCAATAAAGTGATGACAAAAATTGCATGGTGAAGTGGGTAATAGGTCAAGATCTCCTAACTCCTAGCATAGCACTCTTTTCACCACCAAACTAAACTGCCTTCCTTGATCTTGGTTTGACTCTGAAGTTGGGAATTGTATTTCTTATTTGTGAAAATGACAGAAATATCTACTTCCAATAATTGAACCAAAGAAAAAGAAGTAAAAAACTCTACAGTATAGCTTCTAATGCCTCAGACTATTAATGAACCAAACTTCTTTTTAAAACACCAAGTAAATGCTACATTTATTGATTTAAGTAATACCTATTAGGTAATAATTTCTAGAGCTATTTAATGTACTGTATTTTTTAGTCATTGTCTTGAGTTACGCATAATAATTGGCCAAATTAGGGAAGAAAAAAAGAAAAAACATATTGACTGAGCATGTATGTTATAAAGTTCTCCAACATCAATATCCTCTTCAGGCTTCCTGGGAATTCTACTCGGCAAGGAGCCCAGCTGAGAAAGAATAGTTGCTTTCAGCCCTAAAGGCAGAGTGCCTGAAAGCTGAAGCAATTTATCAGTGTTCACCAGGAACTTACTCTTCAAAATCAAACAAGTAAATTTCCTGTAGTTATTTTACACACGACGATAGTTCACATTGAAAAATGTGACGACTTAAAAAGCTTCAGTTTTAAAGATAACTTGGATTAATTTATGTTTACGTCATCGAAAGAGAAATAGCACCTAAGCCAAAACTGACCTACTTTTCTCAATCTATGTGTAGCTTTTAAGAGCCATGGTTTTCCCTGTTCCACTACCAAAACAATCAGAAAGAACTTAACTTTGGCATGGCTATAGCAAACCTTGGCTCTGATTGTGCATGTGGGGTCAATGACAGCAGACAGACACTTACTGCAGTGAAAAGAACATGGCACAGCCAGACAGGATGACCATGGGGAGCAGGCAGTAACCCAGCACGCTGGCCACACAGCCGTATGACACCCCTGAAGAGCTCATCAGGTTCAGTAAGGCGTGAATCACAAGGCAGCCAATGGCACTCAGGCCATACACATAACCAAACTGAACTTTCCCTGCCTGAAACAACATGAAGAAAAGTTTGAACACACAATAGACACCAAGAGAAACTCTGAATATTATGAAGCAGAGAGCACCTTAGAGTCAGTTCAGTGCTGTTGTCTTTGTAAGACTATCATCAGGAAACTGGAAGTTCTGGGAAAAACACAACCAATGATATGAATTCAGATTCTGAAAATTAACACTTCTGACTAGAGTCAGGATGGGAGAAGCATGCTACAAAAAATCGAATACTTCTAGACTTCTATTTTTTATTATAAATTGTCTATTACAAGTATAGAGCATAAGAAAGACCATATTTTGTCCCCATATCTATCAAACAATTATGTGATTGAATAGAGGAATAAAAATATCAATTTTAGTCTTAGAGATTTACAAGGTATATTAGTAAAATTAGCAAACATCTACAGGATTTACCATGTCAGGACCCATTCTAAGTATCCTACATATGTTTACTTAATCCACATAATGGTCTTATGAAATAGGTATCATTATTACACCACCTTTACATATGAGGACACTGAGGTGCAGAGAGGATAAGTAACTTGCCCAAGGTAATATAATGCTAAGCAATGGAGATTGGCTTTGAACCTAGGTATTTCACCTCTAAAATTTAGGCCCTGAACATCAACAGGAACTCTTAGAAGTCCTAAATAAGTGTCAAAATAATGGGATATATTTAACCTTATTTCTTTTAGCACTTATTTGACCATGGATATGTTTCATAACACCAATTGCCAGCTTGATTAACCACACATTATGAAAAGCTGATTTACATAAACTTACTGGTAATAAATCATAAAAGGGGTACTGTCAAAGGAAGTTAGTAGTGCTAAGAGTACACCTCCAATTTTCTGAGGAAAACTTATAAAAACAGTCATTGCTCACAAAGCTAGTGTCTTGCGAGTACAAGCCCCCATAAATTCATTCAGAGAAAATCACAGCCTACTACTACTTCAACAGAGAATATTTTAATGTTTGCTATCTGAGAATACCAAAGCTACAGTTAAAAATTCATTACTTTTTAATGTTTACATTAAGCTGATGATAACTTCTAGATAAAAGTCGAATAGATTGTCTCTGGTTTTCATGGGAATTAGACAAAAACAATGAAGGATCTGATAAATGGATTCAGGAGAGAGAGAGCTTTTTAGCTTCCACTTTTCCTTCTCCATGCTATTATCTATGAAATCTTTAAGAGATATTTATTTTACAATTAATCAGGGTAATGGAGAATGTCACAGCCATTTTAATGTTCAAAATTGTTCACCTATTCTGAATTCTTCTTCCTCTGAGCTTGCAGAGTTGATCACTACCAAGTCCTTTCATTAAAAATCCCTGGCTTTTGTTGGCAGAATTCTCAGGATATCTTCTTTATTCTTGTGGTTATTTAATGAAATAATGCTAATGATGGACAGGCTAACAGAAACACATCAGCTATCCACTGCTTTATTGGGTGAGTTTGTTCCAGTTGCAAAATAGTGACAATTTCACATCATTGTCATGTATTAGAGAAACTATCTAGTTAATATTTTACATGAATGGGACAATTCTGAGGTAGGGCTAGTCCAAATGGTATAGGGCAACTCTCTTACACCCAAAGGACACCTAACTGGACCTTCTTGTCCGGAAAAGGCAGTTTTACAAATGGAGTGGGGCAAATAGGAAGTAGATGAAGCTAACTTGGTACTAAAATTGTGTCTTTGCATATCAGTTATGCACTTCTTTCATCATGTCTTTCCCTTGTTAGTTTGACCAGTATAAGTTGTAATTCCATTTAGCCTAAATCATTGCCATTTTTAAATTTTGTTTTAAATTCTAACAAGGGCTTATAATTGAAACAGGAAATAATGTTCTATTTTGTTACCCTCAAATTTTTTAAAGATCCTCCTTACACCATCCTCATGACCACATCTTGATTTAAAATACTTAATGCTCTTCTGATTGCATTTTTATATTGGTCATGCATGTTGCTTTTCCTGACCACACTCTTGGCCCTAACGGAAAAGTTAAATGGAGCAATAGCTTTAAACCATTTGTGTTCTTGGTGTTAGAAACAAAAATAATTGGGGGTGAAAGAATAAGTAAAACTAAATTTGTGTTAAGTGCTTGAAGCTGTTTTCTTTGGTTTGTCTCCTTTAACCTGAAGAAAGCCCACTGAAATAAATTGTGACTTATGTCAGCATAAATCATAAAGAAGGAAGAGTATGTGACTATGACTCTTATATCTCCAGAGATAATAAACAGATTGGATATTGATTCTGGATTTAGTTTTGATTTCTCTAGTAAAATTCCCATATCAGCCTATAAAATCACCCTTACATTTTAATTCCACATAGCCAGGAAAGAATTAAACTATAATCAAATGAATTCTGAGCTAAATCATACTTCAATTAATAGTCAGTTGGGGTTTTGGAAGAGTCCTTTTTGCTCTATATTTATCAGAATCAATTTGAATGTCACCACATCTAATGGTAAAAATTCAAGTGATAATGTTTGCATAAAGACGTTCAAAAATAGCATTTTCATATATTCCCCATAATTTAGTACTAAATAGAACCTGAAGAACCACTCAAATAAACTACTTTTGTCTTGAAGAAAATGAAATGAAAGCCTAGAAATAGGAAGCCAAAGTTTAAAGATTACAGCAAATGGCAAAGTTAGGGTAGATCCAATTTTCTCACTTCCAATCAAGAATATTTTTGCCTTGATTGCTTTATATTGAAAACATAAAAAGGGATATGTAAATAACACCAACTAACATTATGCATCCATGAAAGATCATAATGGAATCAATGTTGTTCTTTAAGGGATGGTAACAGTAATATTCTGCCACAGAACAAACAGCTATTTTATTATGAATGACTTGAAAAAGAAAGACGAGTTAATATATTAAATTGATTGTTTCTGACTATTTGATTAATTGACATGGCCTTACTTAGCAGTTAATCGAAGATTATCAAATTACTGTGACAAAGACAGAAGAAGGGAGGTTAGAGACTAAATTAAAACTCTAGTTGATATAGTGTTTGGTTTACAGAGTATTTGCACTTGCTGTAGAACAAAGAAATATGATGTTATCATTAAATGCTATTGAATTGGATGAATATGTTATTATTAGCCATATTACCTGCAGAAACCGGATTGCTATGAGTACTTTGATTGATCATATATAATAATTTAAAAGTGGAATTTCATTTAGTTACAAATGTGTTTTACAACTACATTTGAAAATTATAAATCCACTGGAAGAAATTATTTTTATGGAACACGAAGAGCAGGAAAATGGGGAAGAGGGCTAAGTAGTTATTAAAAGCTTTTCCCCTAATGTTTAATTTCTCATTTTATTTCCCCTGCCTAGTTTATCTTTTTGTGCTCTAATGAAGCTACACTTTTCACACTGACTTGACCATCTTCATCATTCCCTGTTTTTAATGTATTGCCATCTCCTCCTTGGTATAAAGTCAGAGACATTTTCTCATTTTTTTCTTCTTCCTTTTTTTTTAATGAAACGTTTTCCTAAACTATGAGCTAGAATGTCTTTTAAACTTTACTTAGGTGGAAATAGTTAAAAAAAAAAATTTTAGTGGCCCTTAATATCATTATTTGCAGATATAAAGAATGAAAGCATATATAAAACATGTTAAAGTCAGAGAACAAATGTCTTCATAAAAAGTAGAAAACACTTTAGAGGAAATAAGTAGAGTAAACAAACCATAGGTTGTCCTTGCAAATTGATTTATTCATGGTAGCCTGACCCAAAACAAGGAGATCTGTCTCATACCTCATAAAATATTAGAAAGAGTCTGGAGATATGTCAGAGCAAAGAAATGATGACCAAAAAGAAGTAAGTTGTTCAGTGTCACATTACAACTCTCCCAGAAAACAAAAACTAAAATGTAGGCTTTATATCTACCAAATCTTCGTTTTCCTTCCCTTATTCCAGATTTACACTCTTTTCTTAATAACAAAAAAGATATAAATTATCTCTTGCTTTGATCTCCTTTTGAAATTCTATTTAAATTTATACTTTTTAACTGTTGCAACGCATAATGGTAGCATCTTTTTATCACGTGGTTAAATTACTCTCTCTCGCTTAAAAAAAAATTCACTGTGTAAAGTGACACACTTTCTCTTGTATTTATACAGATTGCTTCAAAATCGACACTGGTAAGGACAAACACTAAAATCTGGTGCTTGCTGTGACATATTACCAGAAGCAAGGTGGCTCCCAGGGCTACGCAAAAAAGAATGGGTCCAGTGAGGTCCGTTTCATTCATAATGCTGCCATCTGCTGGCTTCATTGGGTTTAACACTGTCAAAGTTTTTTGCCATATGTGATCAAAATGGATTCCAAGTTCTGTATAAACGAAAAAAGAGAGAAATAATATGATAATATAAATATTGAAAAATAAAAATGAGTTACATTCTTTAAAGGTTAACGTACCTGATTAATTTACTTAGCATTTTAATCTGTTTGTTCTATTATACCTTCTAAAGTTCTATATTCTGCATTACACAATCTCAGGTTCTATGTAATATGTAGTAATCTTTAAAAAACAAACTAAAAAATAATTTGGTTTCCAAAGAATGACCTAAAACAAATATGTTAGATAAATAATTCCATCAAAGAAAATATTCCCTGATCTATGCAGCAAATACAAGCTTTAAATCTAATTAAAATTTGGGAAATTGCAATATACAGTAAGAAATAAAATTGTAGCTAACAGATCAAAAATTTCATCCTATTGTCCATTTAGATATTTACTTTTCCCATATTTTCTGTTACTTTTTATTTATTTTTTTGAGACAGGGTCTCCCTCTGTTGCCCAGATTGTGCAGTGGCACGATACCGGATCCTCTGCCTCCCGGGCTCAAGCAATCCTCCTGCCTCCGCCTCTTGAGTAGCTGAGACTATAGGCGCGCACCACCACACCTGATTAATTTTTTTTCATAGTGATGAGGTCTCACTATGTTGCCCAGGCTGGTCTTGAACTCCTGGGCTCAAGGAGCCGTCCTGCCTCAGCCTCCCATAGTGCTAGAATTACAGACCCGAGTCACTGCACTTGAGCCTTTCTCCGTATTTTCAATTGCTGGCACTTCTGAAATCCTGTCATATCAGCCATGGCATAATTTTTCAATTAGCAATACTATACTAAACTAATGAGACTTAGTCCACATCTGGGTTTTAGTTCTGCTATGGCTAACGAGAAGAACAATTTTACGCTAAATGCTTGAAACTACACAGAGAGGAAAAGGGCTGATTTCTGCAAGTAAAAGTGATCACGATGTGCACGCCTATTTATGTAAGGTCAATGCACTGTGAAGTTGAGTCTACGTATTCAAAGATTAAATTCTTGAGACAAGTTAACCTTTCTCTTTTATACATGGTAGTGTTCAAATAAAATATTCACAATCAGTGAGGATAAGTGTTCATGAGTCCAAACCCATTTAGAAATTTCTAATTATTTTCTCCAATTCCCAGTTTTCAAAGATTTCTGACTGCTGCCTCACAGATCCTTCTGCTAGAATCTGCTTCTCTTATTAATATAAAGCAAATACCTAGCCATTTGACATCCCCTGAACATAGAAATAAATATTGATACCACATTAATTTCTTTTCTCATCACTTCTGTAGAGGTCAACTAAGATGTATCTAGGGTAGAGAAAGAGAACATTCAAAGAGAAGAATATGACTTCACTATTTAGGGACCAGCAATCAAACTGGTTATCCTATAATTTTGAATATCAGTAAGGGTAAGGTAGAGGCTAGGAAGAAATGAAAGCTAAAATTTACTGAGTTTTCGCTATGGACTCCACAAGATTTACATGCACTTGTCTTATAGATACACAATCAATCGATTACTATTATTTTATTCCTATTTTATGCATCAGATAGCTAAGGCTTTGAGAGATTGAAAGCTAAGGCTCTGAGAGATTAATTTGTCCAAAGACACAAAGCTAGTAATAGAAAATTGAGGTTTCAATGCTGCACAATCTGAATTAAGAAAGCAGGTATTTAACCATAAGTTGTGGTTAGGTCGATGTTCATCTAATCTCACAATGGTTGTATTTTCTTTTTAAATGAGCCCAATTCTTCCATGTGAAAGACTATCTTCCTTAATGTATTTGTATGTCGCACTCAACTTCCCTTCCATGGATTTAGTAACACTTTTTGGTCAGATACAGGAGTATAGCTCAGCTTACTTTACAGAGGCAGATACCATCTAAATACCTTTCAAAGTTGACTTTCGGTACACAGAATACAAGATGAACTTTTAATAATCCCCATGACACAGAGGAGCCTTGTTCTAAGAACTCAGAAATTTTCAGAGGGTCAGCTAGACACTGCGCTAAACCAGAAAATAAAACTTTATTCATTTCATGCCCAGAATGACATTTCTTATTTTAAGTTTGAAAAAAAAAATTAAATAGTTAAATTAAAAGCAAATAATTTACATTTCAGCTTCCTTGTTTCATGCTTTATCTCCACAGTGCATTTATACATTTATTAATGAACATACATTTTGAAGAACATGAACAGTTCACCAAGCTTAAAAGGAGGTTAGAATGTCTAATGTAATCTTTAAAAGAGAAGATTTTAAAAATTGAGACATGCTGTATATTTTAAATTGATTTATTTTAAATTAATTTTACCTGAAGCTTATGTTCTCAAACTATTTTTAATTTTTGCATTTACGCTAAAAATTAAAATACATTTTCAGTATTTACCACAATAAAGTGATATTTCATTCCAAATACTGTTTCCTCAAAAAACATAATAATTTTGTTCTTAGAAGAAACTCAGATGAAAAATGCTTTATGCAACAGCATTGCTGATGTCAACCATGTATTTAATGACTTAATTCCTGCACATAATTTAATATCAAGCCATGAGACAGTAAATGAACATAAACCCATATAAATATTTTCACAATAAAAAAGATTTTTTGTGTTTCTACTGAAATATAGTTCCATAATATTTTGTATTTATTTATTATAAGGCATGTGAGAGAGATTATAAGTATTTATTAATTATAGATATTCTAATATAACATCTTATTCAAAATAAAAGAAGATGAAACTGCTGTGAAATTTGAGTACAAAATTTATTGTTTTGCTGTCATCTAGTGGCAGTAAAGTATATGATACACATACTATAAAAGTGAATTAAGATCTCTATTTTCTATGCAAATTGTGGCATTGGCCTTTCATATATAAACGTCAAGCTACGCTACAAATACAAAATACCAAATATCAGTAATTTTTTTATCTGACAGACTAGAATTTACTATTATTCTTGAAGATGCGTTTGTTAACATATTGATTTTACATTAACAAATAGCAAAATTTATCATTCTTACATAAAACCAAATATTTTAGACAACAAAACATTTAAGGAATAAAGAAGGACATTTTCGAAATAACATGCTTTTTGTGCAAAGACTGTTCATTATTATAGCTTCATGATATTAAAGGCCATTCTGTTGGCTAGTCAATAAAAACTTGTAAATGTTATTTAATGTGTTATCCTAGAAATCATATCTTTTTTATATCTGAAAAAGACATATCTGTTCTTTTTTATGTCTTTAGACAGAAGAGGTTAGAGGCTTTCACAAGTCACTCAGCCTGAAGAACATGTTGGATCCAAAATCCAAATATTTCATAGATTCGAAACACAAAACTAGATTAGGTAGTCTATCTTCTAATACAGGCTGGGACCTATACCTACCTGTCCATGGCCTGTTAGAAACCGGGCTGCATACAGTCTACTTTATAAAGACAAATGGATTATGGACTTAAAAATAGTCATTTTTCTTATTCATAAATCTGACAGGCATAAACCCAAATCAAAGATAATTTGGCGCCCTTTATGATTTGAAGTTAAGTGATAGTTCACTTGTGAAGTGGCTACCTTAATGTGTATAGAGACCCCAGTCTACCATGATTTGGGAAAATTGTTTAGGTTATTTGGGAAAAGTAGCTCTTTAAAAATCATATTGCCCAACAAAAACCTTAGGCTGAATTTACAGATATGATAATTTTTATAATTATTCTTAGAATTGTGAAGACTAAATGAGATGATAATGTATTCTTGTACACTGTAACAACAGCATTATTGCCTAGAACTTTAATCATTTTAGAGTTCGATACTAAGGAAACAAACTAATTGGTCATCATTATTTTCTTTTTTTTCTTTTTCTTTTGCCCTCATGTACCACTAAACAACTAGTTTCTCTCCCTTTTGTCAGTTCCCATTGCGTATTTTTCCAAAAGAAATACTGTATTCAGATGCCAGCTAATAAATTGTCACACAATGGAAAAATCATATGCCACAATATTCATTGTAAGGTTTAATAAAATTAAATTTGCACCAAATTTAAGTGTATTCTTATTAACCCTTAATACTTGATTGGTATTATCTTAATGCAAATGATAGTAGACTTCTGTTTCACAAACACCTATTAATCATTTGTGGCCAGTTAGAACTTAAAAGGTAGCATTTATTGTTAATACTTCTATGTATATATGATTTATGTACAGTTATTCTAAATTTTTTTCTAGTAGAAATTACAGAAACTAAAGATATAGGGAGACTTGTCAACTGCATAAGAGAAGGGATGCCTTTAATTCTTGTTTTATAATTGGTTTGCTATTATCAGAAATATATCATAAATATATTTTATAAAGGTAAGTTTTATACATTTGTTTTCCATCACTTTCAGTTGTAAAATCGAAGTAGTCCTTGTCTTTTTTTATGTTTAACTTGCCTAATACAAAAAGCTCTAGTTAAGTCAGAAAATGCATTAGCTGTAATTTCTAAACTCCAAGCATAAATTGAAATATCTAGTTTTATAGGTTTTTCCCTTTTGAATTGTTAATATCCCTTACTCATGACAAGTACAGGTTTTGTTTTTCTTTGACCGAGCCCTTTTAAACATTAGTCTTCTTTACCCTTGGTAATGTGGTACTACGGTTGTCTGCACTACCACCTCCAATATTTAAGAGGACTCTTACCAAATTTATAAGTAAAAGAATATTGTATTTTAAGTCTTTAAGAAAAAGTCTTACCATGTCCTCAAGATACTCTGTTTCTTCAAGATACTTTATTTCATCTTTTTTATCTCTGTACTAGTGTATAGAACATTGTTGAGAAGTTTGGGGCTGTGGGAGTTAAGTCATTGATTCCTGTGTCCCATGTTACTTTATATTGCATGTTTTTTTTTTTTTTTTTTTTTTGTAAAGGTGCTTTTAAATAAGATTTTGTCTCATAAAATTACAGCTGTATATAATTGTTGATTTAATTGATTTTTCTAATATATCTATGTCTGATTTCAAAAGTGAAATAATACAGTTTCCTACCTTGAAAAAATTGAAAATCCTAGGATTGGTATCTATTTTTAATATCTTCTCATCATTATAATTGTCAATTATACAACTATAAAAGATACTTGTAATAGTACATAGTTGTCCTAAAACCTATCTTAGTTATGTTTTCCCTTTTTTCTTTTTCCCATGTTAAATCTTAAGCTTTTTCAAGACAAAAATTCTTAAAGTAGTAGTAGTAGCTAAAATTTGG